TCCAATCCTTGGGATCTGGCCAAACACTGCCATGTAGGCTGGGCGACCATGTGAGTAGGTCATTGAGTTCAAAGCGTGGACTGCTGCATCAATGGCCTGGTCAAAGTCGGCCTCATTGAAGTGGACTCAGAGTCGATGATGCGCTCCAAAATGTCACGGGGCACAGTGTTTCTTCTTTCAATCAAGCCAATGCGCCAGTGAGCTTCGGCTGGGATGATGTCCAGCCAAATGCCAGGCCGCTCAACATGGCTGCGGAAGTTGAGCCCATAGTTGGTTCCAGGATCTGCACGCATAACGCTGGGAAAGGCGTAGGGCTTGAACCATAGGTTCCTCATGATCTCCAGCGTGGTGTTGGAGGACATGTCAGGTAGCCGTGCAGCTTGGTGTAGCAGTGTCGATTGGTCAATGATGCCAATGACTGCATAGTTTGCTACTGCCACGTCCCGGCAGCAGAAGCCATCTGTCTGTATGCTGTCGTTGAATTGGCCCATGTTGGCCGTTGGGACCGTTGAAGGTCTGGGACGCCGCGCTGGTTTGGTCCTGGTGCAGCTGGCGCAGACCATGTGCTTGATCGCGGTGAGCATGTGTTTCGAAATGGCTCCGTGGGGTGGCCCAGGTTGAGGTGTAGTCCTCTGTTGGCACATCGCTGGGACACGTTGGAAAGGTTACCACTGAAATGGGCGAGCTCGGTGGCGGTGATGGCTGATGATGGCTGTTCTTGGACTGGTGTGGACGCTGAGGCTGAGGCCGTTGATGGTGCTCAGCTTAATTTGATATTTGTTGGCTTCCGTGCTTCAAGGAAATTGGCCATGAGTTTTGTCGGTTCAAAGGGAGAGCTTTGTCCTCATGCCTTTTCCTGATGCAACCGGGCGGTCACTTCTGGCAAAGGCTTGTGCCCACAAGCCGCTTACACGCAAAGGTCGGTGTCTAAAAGCACCTACCTGACCCTGGTTGTTCTTTTCTGGTGGTGGTTCTGTCTTTGGCCCTCCAAAGCAATACCAAAAGACAGCATGAGCAACTGCCTTGGGGAAGTGCATTCCATCCAACGCCTCGGCTTCCACACTGAGCTGTCCGTCTTGGTACTCGATGATGGCTCCACGGAGTGTGAAGAGGATGTCTCTGGGAAGTCTTCTCTGGGCCGGTGCTCTGGCCAACTGGATTCTGACCATCTCCTGCAGGGGACGAGCTGACAGATCTCCCGGTGGAGTGGATCATTGTCTGCGAGGTTGAAGGCTTTCATAGTGTGGTGCCCTCAAAGATCGATGACATCCATCCATGCAGCTGGATCTTGCATGGGCTCCCCATAGAAGACCTCATTGGTCTTGACAAAGCGTTGGGGCCATCGTCGACGCTTCAACTCGTAGAGCTCGAAGGATAGCTCTGCACATCTTCTCAGGGTAGCGTGCACTGAGTCTGACCTCCTTGCCGAGGAGTGGCACGCAGTATTGAAGTTCTTCCTGGCTGAGCTTCCTTGAAAGGGCTGTGGCCAATTCAGCTGAATTGGTCAGCCACTGGTAGAGCTTGCGGATGGGGTCGCCGTGGCTGTTGCATCCTCCGTAGGCTCCAGCGTGGCATTGAACCACATAGACATCATGCCGAGCTGCGAGTTCTTGGAGCCGTGGCAAATCCCAGATTCTTGAAGGCGCTGGGTTCTCGAAGAGGAAGCAGTTGCCATCAGCGATCTGTTGGTAACAGGATTGAACGCCTTCCTCAACCAAGGGGTACTGGAGCTTCCTTTTGTCCTCCATGCGATCTTTTCCCTTGTAGTTGAGGTTCTCATAGAAGATGATCCAGTCTGTGCATTCGGTCTCAACCACGACCAGGAGTGGTTTATAGTCCTGCTGGGCTTTTCGCCATGACATCTTGTCCTTGCGCTTGGACATGTCCTTGCCGTAGAGCAGGTCAAAGGGCTCCATGGCGCGCAAGTCATACTGGTGAGCGAGGAAGGTGATGTCAGCGTGGCCAGCGTAGCCACTTTGGAGCGGTTGCTGTCAAGAGCTGTGGGAAGTGCTTCATAGAAGGCTTCATAGATGCCGGCCTCGATTCCAAGAACGTTGGAGGCCTTGGTGATCTGGTTGATCAGGCTTCGAGCCCTTCCCAATCATAGTCTTCGATCTCCTCCTCCTGCAGTGGATCGTGGAAGCGCTGCTCGCAGGCCGGGTTCCAGCCTTCCGGAAGTCGTGGATCCATGGCTCCCTCCTCGAACTCCTCGAAGCGGTTCAGCCATCGTTCGAGGTCCACCTCCACTGCAAAGTACAGGGCATAGTTGGACTTGATGGGTTCCCCTCTACCGAACTCGAAAAACTCTGTGGTGGCATACTCCAGGGGGTAGATTGACCAGGTGTTGAGTTTTCCCTTTTGAGCTTCGGCCCATGAATGCCCTGCACAAAGCCGTTGGCATGCAGCATCCAAAATGATGAACCCGGCTGCTTTTGCGGCATCGGTGAGGCACACTTCAAAGTTGGTCAACTGTGAGACCAAGACAGCATGAGCAACATGTTGGGGCTCTGCTTCATCATCCTCGTGGCCACCATAGTGAAATGCACAAATTTGGCTTTGCCCTTCTCACCCTTGCCGCCGCCGGTGTTCTTGCCGCCATCTCTGTAGGTGGTGGACTTGTTCCTTCCTTTGCCGCTGGCTGAACACCCAGCATCTCCAGCCTTGGCCGCATGCGGAACAATGTGTGTTCCTCTTCCTCTCTGCGATGGACTTCTTGGGCATGGGAGTGCCACCTGAGCCATACTTGCGAGCTTGCATGACTCCAGCCAGCTTGCGAGAGCGGTGATCGTGAGGATCTCTGCAACCTCTGGGTCGTCGTCCCAGGAGCCGCCATCATCAGCCTCTTCATCAGCCTCGTTGTCGGGCTGATCATCTTCTTCTCCATCATCATCGTTCACCTCGGTGGTGTCCGGGTCCGGTTCCTCGTGGATGGTCTCGGGCTCATTGAACTCAGTCACATAGGTCTGCCGTGGCGGCAGGTTGGACTTGCTCTTGCCTTTCCCCTTGGGGTTGCGATCACCTCCATGAAAAGGTCGGCGCCGTCCTTTTCCTGGGGGCCGGGCCACTGAAACAGCAACACATCCTTCACGGCCTCGATGTCCAGTGCCGATGAGGACTTGGCGCTGGTGTTCGTAGACAATTTGCATCTCTCCAAGACCCCGCTCCACGAGCCTCTCCGTCGTACATGTCATGGACGCGGATGCCCACGGTGATGAGTGCGCGCTCTGTGCGCTGGTACCTGTTCAGGAAGGATCTCATGCCGTGTGAAGTGTTCGTAGTTGTTCAACAGCTGTCGTTTGAGGTGGACCGAACGGGTCTCCACTGCCCGCTGGATGATGTCGAGGATGTAGGTCACGCCGTCGGCATCGTAGATCTTCTCGATGGGTGCGTCTTCCAGCTCCTCTTCCAACTCTCCAAGCTCATCGCTCCATTCGAGCTCCTCAGTCTCGCAGCGGGCGCACATCCAGTCATCGCCGTCAAGGCGGTAGTGGGCGGCCGTGGGGCTCGAGGAGGTCGAAGCGAGGTGGCGTCACCACCAGGGAAGCGCGCCAGCCAGCGGCGCCGGTCGGAGGGGCAGCGTCCAACAAAGGGCGGTCATCAGCAGCAGCCGCAACCTGTGGACGTAGCCGCGGCACCAACGGCATGGCGCGGCGTGAGAGAGCGGCAGGGAGCAGGGCCGATAGGCTCCGCTGCCAACTAGGCAGAACGGGTGCGAATGCGAGCTGTGGCCATTTTGCAAATGGCTTGAAGGCAAAAGGCGCACCTACGGTCCAAAAGCATGCTTCACGAACCTGCGACAAGCGAAAGCTCATGCAGCTTCGAGCTTCTCACTTTTTGCTATTCCCCAACATTCCTCGTCGATGTGCACCTGCTTGATCGCAAACATTTGCCGCAACCTGCATTCCACTGCTTGCCACACCGAGCCACACGCACCCTTGCCGATCTCTTCCAAGACCTCTTCCTTGCTTTAAAGGTTTACGCCCCGGGTGCCACCAGCTGTTCATCGGCAAAGGGCACCGCAGAGCCCATGTTGACCGCGGCCGTCAAGACGATCTCCTGACTCATCGCCACAAAGATTGGGTGCGAACTGCACTGCGTCGCCCCTGAAGGAGGAGAAGGGCCTGACGCGCGACGGCCCACCTCGGATCACGGAGAAGGATATATAGTGACCTTTGAGACCAGGTCTTGCTACTGGACAAAGATCACCGGGCTTCCGGTCTTCAATGCCCCGAGTGCACAGCTCCTCCGCTGCGGAGGGAGGGAGAAGGCACTCAAAGAACATCGTCACGGCGCTTCGAGTTCTCGATAGTTCTCGCTCCGGAGGGCGTCTAGATATGTCCAAAGCACCGGCACCCACTTCACACCGCTATAAGCTATCTTTGATGTGGAACAAGCAAGATGTGCAACTAGATGCTGTGGCTGCTGTGGACTTGAGTGTCCAAGCCTTGAGAGCCAAAACCGCGACGGATGTGTTCTTTTCTCAGCATCACCTCCGATGTAACATGTCCTGTCTCACGTCTTTTTGATGGCATGGTATGGCATGGTCACAGTTTTATAGATCAGACCCGTCTTTCTTCTGAAACGCCTTTCAGACACACATCCACACCACCTCAAGCAAATTCTCACAAGAATCATGGTCACTCTGCCCCTTAACGTCTTCACCCCTCTGCATCTTCCTATCTCCTCTGCACCGATCACCCCATTTCGAAGGAAGCCGCTGTAAAGAGGCCATGCTGTAGTATTCCCCTTGCTTCGCCATCAGCCTCGTCGTCTCGTTTTCGACTTGCCACGAGGCAGACAGCCGAGGCAGTCGATCCATGGCAGTCGATCGAGATGGGAGGCCTAAACCAGTGGGCCTTGATTTCGATGCCTTCTTGAAGGGGGGACCCTCCCCGAACGAGCTCTAGATTCAGAAACTTTCGAAACATCAGGTCGAATCGAACATCCCATTGTCATAGAAACCATCCAACCCCCCGGATGGGCAGTAGGAGATTCTCCGATCAAAGTTTCAGGATCTGTTCAGCATGCAAGCTTGAAAGAAACCGTAGGTCCGTAGGTCCCCGTAGGTTCCAAAGAAAACCAGAGCTGGCACGCCCAAGCAGCTCTTGGTGAGTTCCTTGCTCACAAACATGGCCCTCCTTCAGCATGTAGATCCTGCACGAGGAGTCTACACGGCACCGAAGTCAAGTGACCAACAAGTCGCAAGTCATCTCGAGTACAGCAGCCACGCACCCCAAGCCCAAGTAGTCAAGCTTGCACCCGAAAACCTCGCTCAAACCCGCCCGACCTACCCCGCCCATTCAAATCATTTCGCCCCGGGTCATGTCGGACTTGGCGATGGTGGTGAGTCGGTGCGCAATGGAGATGGTCGTCAAGGCCCGGCCGAGCGTCTCCTCCAAGCAGTCCAGCGTCTCCTGGCGCGTTTGCACCGGCAGCGCGCCAGGCGCCCAACCCCGTGCGTCCCCCGTTCGGGGCAGACGCAAAAGCAACATGCAAAGGCGCAAAGCCAATGCCACAATCCATCACAATCCCACCCCCGGTGGACCTTCCGTTGGCCTGCCCCGGTCTGGAACCGGCCTGCACCATGCGCTCCGACTCGTTGTCCAAGGCGCTGGTGGCCTCGTCCAGGAGCAGCGCCTTCGGCTTGCGCGCCAGCGCGCGGGCGATGGCCACGCGCTGCCGCTGGCCGCCCGAGAGCATGCCACCTGCGTGTTCGCTCAGCGTCTCGATACCGAGGCGATCCAAACGTGTTCGTCCCTCGATACCGAGAGCAGGTCACCGGTGGTTCGGACCGACATGTGATCGGATCATATTTAGCTCCATGTGAGAAAGGTCAATGGGGTTCATCAACCGAACGGTGAGGGCAAACGAACTGTGAGGGTCCGCTGGGACGATTGATATGTCAGATATGTCGGATCTTGTGTTGCAAGACCCTGCTGAATCGGGATAAACTCTTTGGGTTACCTTGCTGTCCTTCCCCCTTGTACCCTTCACAACCCCCCTCCAAAGTTAGTATCCAGCTTCTTGGGACCTCCCTCCCGTGGGGTGAAAAACCTCGTCCACCGCCTCCAGCGCCGATGAAGGAGTCTAAGCCTTCGGGCAGCTGCGTCAAGGTGTCCAGAATCTGCGCCTGCCGCGCGGCCTCGATCGCCTCCTCATCACTGATGTCTTCACCCGCCTGGCGCCATTTCGTAGGCTGGGGCACAGCGCTTCGGCGCGTGTAAGGCTTTTCACTTTAGCCAACGCCCAGCAATTCGACCAAATCAACTAGCCCCTGGAGTCCATTGGACCCTGCAAATCCTGCAGACCCTATCCAAGTATTCCTTTGAAACTCGATCAGGGTGCAAAGCCCCTAGTCCCATGTCTTGCTCAAGGCCTGTAGGTTTCCCCCTCAGGCCTCTCGTGCCCTTCTCACAACCTCTACGGGCTCGGCTATGGTTGGGCACGCCACGCACATCAACATGCAACAGAGCTATGTCTACACCTACATCCTTGGCAGGCTAGCTGCTACAGCTTCTCCATCTGTTCGCCCACCCTAAAAAGTCCAAAGCCATGCAAAACTCTGTCTGCAACGTGGATTATGTAGCCACTAGCCGATTGGCCGCTAGCCTTGATGTTTTCCATCGCACTGGTGGCGAAGAGCACCGGATGTTGGCCCACGTAGCCCAGCATCCGTCGCCAGGACCGAACGGGCAGCCGCTGCAAGGGGGTGCCGTTAATCACGATCTCCCCAGACTTGGGATCATAGAAACCTGGAGAGCACGGCGGCAAAAAGGTGCAAAGCACGGGACAGAAGTACCGAGATGCTTTTTGGGGTGTCGGGGGCGCAAAAAAAAACGTCAAGACTCTTCAAGATGGATCACGGGGCATGTGAACGTTTGCTCAATGCGGTGCTTAGGAGCGCAGAATGAGTTGGATCGTGGTGCTCTTCCCACAGCCACTTTCACCTGGAAAGGTGACAGGCATATGATGGCACATGTAAAGCACTTTTGGATCAACGCTTTTAAACTTTGGAGGCTATTTGTGCATAGCTGAGGGGTGGGGGTAGGACCTGCCGGGTAGGTGTGAGGGAGGCAAAGAAGTATTGAACCCATCTTATTCTGCTTTCACAGTTCGGGCCATATGGGCCACTCACAAGCGCAAAGGCTCCGCCTTCACGCTTTCCAACTGTTATTGGCACAGCTGTTGTCGTGGAACTATGCGCAAGTGAGTGAAGAGTTCCAATCCTCTGCCCATGTCATCCCTGTTCGAGACTCCGCACACTGCGCCTACAAAGGCCACTTTCTGACCTTTGGAGATGAAGAAGCTCAGCCTCGGGGGGCTCGGTGGATCTCGGTGGATGCGCAGGTGGCACAACGGGCCTGGAGACTGGAACCCTTGAGAAGATCTTCGGAAAGAGGGATCAAGCCAAAGCCAACCAGCTTCAATCCAGCCAGGCCACTTACTCAGCACCACCTTCTCTGGCTGCAGAGGATAGTTAAAGACCACCGATCTGAACTCAATGCTCTGCAAATCTGCCAAGCTGGGAGAGGCCTCTTCGTCCCAGAAGTGGTCTGGCTCGATGTCGCGATCCTTCCAGCGAATCATCTCCTTCAAAGACTTCGCGGAAGCCACGGCCTCAATTTTTAGGCGAGCACCATCCATCAGAGAAGACATTAGGAGACCGGTCGGCATTTGGAGAACCAAGGCATGATCTGCTCTGGTACCCATAGGAGGCCTCGGTATTCTTCAGACTCGGCTTCTCTCCCTCCTTCAGATCCTTATCTCCTCCATCGCTATCAGGTTGGAGGCCATCGCCACTATATATACAAATGTATATGCAATTATAGAGAGAGAGTTATATATATATATATATATTCCCTTGCAAATCTTAGGCCCTGGGTCACTCTCTGACTGCCCTGCAGCTCTGCCCTGACTCGCGCCTTGAACAATCCAGGTGCATAGCCACTAAAGGTAGAGATACCCGTCATCCCGGTGATCAGCGCGATCAGCACAACGATGACGTCGCCACCATTCACCTGCGCGTCCTGGTGGTCTTTCATCCTCCCCGCAATCAAGACATGCCCGCCAAACCAAAGGGTGACAGCATAGAGGACAGCGAAGGAGAAGTTCTGCAAACCCCAGAAGATGCCGATCCTGGGCCGCAGCTCAGGATGTGCATGGTTGAGAACGTGTCAATATCATTCAGAAGGGGTCAGCTGAGAGAGAATTCTGCGCTTGACGAACACATTCCTGGCAACAATCCTCACATCACCTGCCAGGATAGGCACCTGAATCTTGAGCAGTCTTAACTGATGTTGATTAGATCATGGACACATCCAAGACATGTTTCGCCCTGGCACCACCTCCCCCCACCCACACTGCGACTGCCTCGCCGCGTTTGGGCCCCAGCCACCGGATCCCGGAGCGCACGCCGCCGCGCCGCGCGGTGTCCAGGTGCGCCCCGAAGCGTCGCTGCTGGAACTCCTCCGTGCCGAAGGCCGCCACGGTGCCTCGGGGGGCACGCGCGACCGGGCGACGCCCCAGGGGTGGCACTCGGACCCGCTCGCGGGGCCAGAAACCTCCGGAAGACCGAGGTTAAAGAAGCACGGAAGCCTCAAAGGTAGCGATCCGCTGATCCACTTCATGGGTTTCTGGTCCCAAACACGAGTCATCCCGTCCGAGTCCAAGGTCCGCATCAGCTGGGCCAGGTGGCGAACACCCATCAAAGACTCCTCCGCCACGGTGGAGGCCTTTGCAAAGTCTTTGGCCTGCTCGGTGGCCTGGAGTCGCAGTCTCGGCTTGCTCCGAGACTACTGTGGGGCGAGGGGTTTTTGGGGAGCGACACGGGACTGCAGTAGATCCGTAGTGGGAAGAACGGGGGACCGAAGGGGGAGACGAAATCTCCTGGGCGCAGCTTATGAAAACCCAAATTCAGCACGCGAATCACGGCGAGTCTGAGGAATGTTCAAGCACCATGGATGTTGCAGGTCCTGGCAGAAGTGTGGGGAAGACACGTCAGCTGTGGTTTGAAGTGGTTCATTGCTTGCTTTTCGCACTTCTTTTGCAACGCCCCGGGATTGAGAACCCTCAAGCCGTGCAGAACAACCCGTGGCCCCTTTGAGCCCGTGGCGCCTGTCGCTCCAGCTGCTTCGCAAAGCCATGCCCTGTGCAGATCAGGAAGGGCAAGGTGGCACAAACCTCGGTTTGGATCCCAGAGGCGAAACGTCGAACGCGGAAAAGATGCTGCAGAAATCAGTTGAACCGATTTTGATGATCTCACTTGTGAATCACCTACCTTCAAGGAACATCTTCAACAGCCTCCAAGGTTGCTAGCGCAAAGTCGAATGACACAACTCTGTCGCAGCCCCATGATGGGTCAGCGTTAAGTTCGGAAACTGAAACGTGGGGTTTAGAAACTGGGCAAAGTTGTGTTCGAAAACTGGACACATCGGGTTCGGAAACTCAAACATTAACTAGCAACGTGCTCTTCATACCATGTTAAGCTCGTACCTTCATGATGTCCTAAATGCGAGCTGGTGGCGATGAGGGTGAGCTGCCAGCCATGCAGAAAGGCCACCACCAGCCCAGAGACAAACTGCCCCAAGCTGGCAATTAGAAATCCCAGCCCTGCAGACATGAAGATCTGGACCATGGCTATATCCATCTCCTGGGTGAAAATCCGCACCCGGATGTTTTCGGCCAAGCCAGGGAGGTCCACTTCCTCTGAACATGTTCGCCACAAAACGGGCCTGGTGTCAGAGGACTGTTGCATCCGAAAACACGTCTATCACCGGGATCCTCGACGCTTCGAGGAGACAGCTGGGTTGTGCTATCAAAAGAGTTCAAAAGTTGAATCTCGCACGAGGTGAGCATCTTGTTTCGGCTCATCTCCCATGTGGGCACAGAAAGGGAAAACTTTTTGGAGGGGGCCCGCGGATGATCTGTAACCACCCATCCCACGGGTGGAATTGCGGAGCATGGGCCAACCATCAGCCAAGACGCTAGTTTCGCTGCAAGTCCGGCCGGCTGATGGGTGTCAAACCAGGTGATATCCTGGGATGAAAAGATTGTCGGGCAGTGCATTCAACTCCTGCTTTGGGGATAGCCAAAACCTCTGTCAGTCTGAATTGGGGTGAGGACACAGCTCAGGAGGGAGAAACTTCATGCCAAACTCAACCCCACAACCCTACTGGGCCCTACTGTTTCTGTCCAGGTCTCCAAGGACAAGACGGATTTCAAGAAGAGAAGTTGCCAGCGGAGCGCTTGGTTCGAGGAGGCCCACATGAGGCAGGTTTGCCAGGCCCAGGCGGTCAAGAACTGTGCCAGGGCCTCGGTCTCAGCAAACATCGGCCCAGCATGGGGATGTTTCTAAATCGGGATCCCCTCTTCCAGGCTTCATCGTCTGGTGCAGCAACTGGGAACACGTGACACACAAGACTTGGAGGCGATCAAGCGACCAAGGCGGCGATCGCCAAGAGCACCCCGCGAATGTTCTCCAAGATCATGCCTCACGCTGAATTGAACAACTGGGCGGTTTTGGTCAAAAATGGACATCGCCTGCGTGGAGTTGGGCCTCACCAACCACTCGGCATCATTCTGATGAACATCCCAATGCATGGAGGGATGACCAAGAGAGACCGCCCTTCTTTTCTGCTTCTCGCCTGCGCTGCTGGTGGTGAGGATGTTTATCGCCTGCCCGATCCACATGGCAATCAAGGGGGCAGAAGCGCCCTGTAGCAGCGCCAGGAAGCCACCCACAAAAAGGCAAATCTTCTCTAGCCAACTGGTCTGGGACAAGACCTCAAAGGCAGCCTCCTCCTGCCCATGGCCCACTTGTGCTTAAAAAGCGAGGGCATGCCGGGACATTGTTCTTCAAAGAGGTGGTGAGGATGAGTGTGACTACGTGCATGATGCGCACATGCTCTAAGAAAATATGAACGAACAAACCAGCAAACAAACAAACCCAACCCAACGCAGCCCAACCCAATCAAGGGACCGAACCAAACCAAACCAAACCAACAAAACAAAGTTGATATATAAAACCACTATGTGAAAGGCCCACATGCAGCGCACTTCAACTTTCCACTCTCCTCATCTTCATGCTCGTCCTTAGCTCTCACTTGTCAAGGCAAGCAAGGGGTAACAAGGTGAGCTTTCTAAGACGGTGCTGGAGGTCCTACTTGGCTTCATCCCGGCAAAAGCCGGACCTACACCCGAACTCACGCCAGGCCACTGCAGAGGTGTCGCTGACACTCTCGTAGTCTCCATTCTCCGACATCGGGGGCCGCCGCCCGGCCCGGGCGCGCCCGCCGGTGGACCGAGATCTGTCAGGCCAATTCCAGAGGCATGCGAGAAGTTCTGAGATCAATGCGGAAGCTTGTTGCACTACCCACGGATGTCCAAGGATCAAAAAGAAAAACATCAAGGCAGTCAGGTCAAACAAGGTAAAAGCTGACGTCTGACAAACGTTCATCAGCGAATGAAAGGGAGTCACACCCCTGTTGGACCATGTGAGTTGACCATTGTGATCTCCATCCAGCTGCCCCAGGGGGGTCAACCTGCAACGTCTCAAAACAAGTCGATTCTTCTCACCTGAAGCTTTAAGCACTACCGTAGATATGTCAGGGGACGCTGAGCTGCTGAACCAAAGAAATTCTAGGCCATCCCCCCAAAACAAAGACGGAAGTTGGACAGGACAGGGCAGGGCCGAGCTGCAGGATGTGCCCAACATACTCCCTGTCCAAGAGCCCCACATGCACCTGCCTGCGGCCTTTCGAGCATCCTCTACACTCTGTGGGGGTGCCATCATAGCGGCCTCTCGGGCCGAAGATCTCGCAGATCTGTGGCAGGAGAGTCATTCTGACAGTTTCAGGAGTTCGGTCGAGAACTTGGGGCAACACCTGCTTCACCTCCAGCTTCAGAGCCCATTCGACGCATCCGTCTTCACGAAAACAGACCAAGAGAAGCGACGGCCCCGCGGACCGGGCCGCCGGGCCGCGGTTTCGGCGGACCGCCGATTGATGGCCTGAGCTTTCCCATCGATCGAAGGCTGCATAACACTCCAGGAGTGGCGGAAAGGGGGTCCCATATGCTTCATTCTGCTTCCATAGGTTGAGAAGGCATGGATGATCATGCATGGAGAAAGAGACCAAAAAAGGTGGGTGAACGTGAGTGGTGAGCCCCACTTGCAGTGTGGATCGGAGCTTGCCGTGAGAGGTTTCAGATATATGAAACACCGCCCAGCAACATGCCTGAATTCCAATTCCTGGATCCAAAATCCAGATTCCTAGGTGTCCTGCATCCAGATTCATCAATCCCATTGCTGGTTCCCAATGTCTGAAATGGCTCTGGGTGCACCACTGGCGCACCTGAAAGAACCCCACGTTTGGTTCCACCTTCCGACCCTAGCATTACAGTAGCCCCAGCCAAGGTGATCCTACCAACAGCTTCGTTCGTGAACCACACGAATTCATGAACTTCCAGACACATGGTATTGGAGGAATGGTCCTGGTACTCAACCGATGGTTCTGGCTCTTCTTGATTCTTCAAGCTTCATGCATTTGCCTACATTGACCCCTGAAATCTACGATATACGTACAGTATATGTATATGTAGTATTGTGCGCCATGCGTGGAGTATCTAGTTTGGGGGGAAGGGGTTGTCCTTAGAAATTCCCCAAAAGCTTCCTCGACATCTGCTCCCGTGATCCGTTCTTTCTGCCGCGACGAGCTGACACTGGATAGAATCATTCATGACACCGGATTTCGTGGATCTTCATTGCACTTCCCTTTCTCCTTTCTTGCCTTGTGACCACCTAACTCACGGCTCCACGGTCCCAAGCCACCTGATCAAGGCCTCCTGAAGATCCCTCAAAGAAGAGCTTGCGATGTCAACGTGAACCGGGCACTTCGGTGGGGTCGCCCGAATTATGATTATGCACTTGCCGTGCTTCGGTGGGATGAATTCTGACGCCCTCCTTCTCGGTGCAGAATGGTACGTCGTAACAAGTCTGTGACCAAGTCCGCTGGGTCAGCGGGGGCCACGAAACGCAAGCTGGCAAAGCTGGATGAGTTGGGGTCCTTCACCGAGATCGAGTGGGCGATCCCCGCGCCTCTTTTTCAGCGCAAGTTCGTGCTGAAAGCCCCTCAAGGGCAGCTTCAAGACTTGCACTGAGCCCTCATGAGGTGGCACCTGTGTGGTGCAAAAGACCTGACCGGAAGGCTTCCGCTTTCACTCCGTTCCACGTCCGCAAACGGACGGGCCCCAAAAGGCCTGGCAACCGCTGTACTCAAGGGGGCTGCATCTGGACATTCTTGTGGCTACACTGGCAGCACCTGGACAGGCTATGTTCATCTATGTTCCACTTCCAGGGCCTCCATTGATGAGATGTGTTCTTTCAAGTCCGAGTGTTTTTTAGCTCCAGAATGGAAGGGAAAACGACTTGTGGAACGTGGAGCAGACCTTTCCAGAACCGACTCCCAACTGATTTCTCAGAGCTCCACACCCCAAAAAGACATTGAACGACATTGTCGCAGCATCCCCCAACGAGGCCTGAACATGGAGCACACAGCTGAGCACACGGGCGTCGTCGGCACCCAAAGTCTCAACATGTCCCTAGAGATACCACACAGGAGATAGACATCACATCAGGAGTGTATGACCACCTTTCACCACCTACATGTGTGACCACTCCCTACACTTCACATGTGTGACCACCTTTCACCTCTCCACGTGGGGAAATAGACAACCAAGGGTGTTTCCTCGGCCTGTTTTGGTCCTCACCAAGGGTCATGTCCCTCTATTGACACTGCTTCACCAGTTCAACCCTTGTGCTCTATCCTTTTCGGGACAGGAACCTCCAGGTCGTGTTGGTGGGCCCCTATGGTTGATTTTTGGAGAAGCAAATTTGAACCTGCTGGTCAGAATTTAGCAAATAAAGCATGCAATGGCACCGTCAATGTGAATGACTGTCCAGCCTTCCAACATCTGAAACTGCACTTGAAGAGCTCACTCTGTATGAAGCACAGCCCTGCCAAAATAAGAACAAAACATGGCATCAGGTCGTTGATACGTGCGAAAACTGTTCTGAAAAAGGCAAAGCTCTCCAAAATGTGGTCTGGCAAGCTCAAAGAGGGGTCAGAAACAGAAGCCACCTTTTGGATTGTGAGCTGCCTAAGAAGCAAAAACTCTAAAGTTGAGAAACATATTGTTAAAGACAAGATGCACCACAAAAATACAACAGCAATACAAATAAAAATACAAAAAATGAGAAAAAAGGACTGAAAATAGGACAGTCACACAAGAAACACAAGCGGACTGGACAGTCTGCGATAGAAACCAGCACTTCCAGAGGAAAAAAAGGGAACACGGCTTTGTCAAAGAGGCACTGCAACAGGTGACCGCTCACTGATTGAAACCCAAGCAGGGGCTGCATGTGGCATAGACAAAGGCGAGCACAACAAAGCAAAGATCACGCAAGAGGCACATTAAGATAGACCAGGATATTGAGTACAGTATAAGTCCTAGTCATGATAAAAGGTGAGTGTTGACTCCGATGCCGCGGGCAGAGGCATTGAATTCAAATGTGCAAGGCTTACGGCCGTGGCCAGTGGCCCCTTCCATACAGATCCAGAAGCTCCGGCTAACATGGTTGAGAACAAAGGGGGCTGAGTGTTCATGCGTAAGCCTGGTTGCTGTCAGGGGCGGGCCACTGGTCCTGAAATTTCTAAAAACTTTTTCGACAGAGCGGGGGGCAACCACTGTGTGAAGCAGTTGCCTTTGTGCATGTCCCCCAGTCCGGCCTTTTTGCGGAAGGATCCGGTCGACGCCTGCAGCAGCTCACCAAGGGCTGTTCGCTTCTGCGGCTTGAGAGATCGAACGTCCCTCAACGGTGCATTGGGAAGATCTCTTCCATTCACATCGATTCACCAAATAGATTGGGAGGATAGGGCCTGGTAGGGTAGGGCCTGGATTCGCTCGATTTCTGAGCCAGGGCGACCAAGAAAGGATCAACTCACTGCGGGAGAGAATCCTGCGGCTCGATGGCGTGTGTGGGTGAAGCTCAAAACAGGCCTACCCCCTTAGTAATGGTCAATCGCGTTCTGGAGGAAAGGCTACGCGACTTGTTATACGCGGGTTATCTCATACCTTCTCGAGACTGTTTCCTCTGAAGGAACCGTTCTGTCCCATGTCTAGATCATAATATGCACACACAAATAATACATATATATATAATATATACATTTATATATATATATATCTGTGTGTGTGCGCTCGCGTTGCCCAATCATGGGAATTCGTATGCCTGATCACTGCACGTTCATCTCCCATTGGAATGCTGGATCAACTGATCAAAGCCACAGGCCCAAATGAGGTCCAAATCAAGCGAGTTGGCGACCCAAATCACATCCAACTCCGTGCTCATCATGGACATCCAACTCCAGCTTAAAAGTCTCGCCGATTTGTCCTCGTCCTCAGGTCCCCAGTTGGTGTTGAGATCCTGTATAATTGACAGTGTGATTCATCCTCTTTCCAAGTCGGACCGGAGCCCTTCGAGTCCCACTCCCAGCGGAGTCCTGCGAGTCCTTCGCGCACGGGCGCACGGTGTCGTTCCCCTTCAGTTCGGTGTCATTCCCGATGTATGCAGGTCGGCCGATGCAGGTGGCACACTCGGAGTAGATGGACATGAATTCCACCTGAGCGGACGCCATCCGTTCGTCGTCTAGATGGAACACTGCGAAGTGACACAGGCGAGCCGCTGATCGTTCTTGGGGTCCAAGGATTTGGTCGTGGCCCATGAGCCATGGCGGAGGACTATGAGCCCTCTACAGCCGTACAGGTGTGAGCCCTCAGGTTGAAATCACGTCAACAGTTGCCAGAACAGCCAGAACCCCCTTCAACAAGGTCTCCAAAGAAAACCATTGGGCCCCCTTCCAACCAAGATAAATTGGCGGCCTCTGCCACTGCCCGAACGCCCAAATAGTGAGAATCCTGATAAGAAGAGTCGAACGAGCCTGCAGAGGGTCATGATGTATATTTAGGCACTCTCATGTCTCATGAGTGTCAATCCCAAGTGGCCTTTGGCGTATTGGGTTTACAATCCAAACCCACCAGCAAATCTCCTAACTCATCACCTGTCGTCCAAGCCGCCACTGGCCGTCGATTCGCTGGCCCGTGGGGTCGTTGCGCCAGGCGTTTGAAGTTGGGGGGGCTCCAGACCTTGGTCGTTGAGCCGCAGGCTCCCAAAACGCTATATAGGAGGATCCTGGTTTGGAAGGA